TGGGGATCGAACTAGAGCAACCGGAGGCTGACAGCTTTGTGGAAGCAGTCACTTAAAGAACTGAACTAGGGCCAGGTCCACCAGAGAACACTTTTAATGAGACATTGTGTCAAAAAATCTAAGCAGTGAAGAGCGAAGCTATAGATAAACACCTACGTGAGTGCTGGTCTCTGCCTTCTTGGGGAAGTGACTGTGCTCAAGTCTACTGAAGACCAGGCTAGTGTTGCTGAGTCCTAAATCCGTTCAGCAAGTGGCCTGAAATGCTAGCCTCCAAATTGTGTTTTGCATCCACCCCAAAACTGGATAACCTAGAGAAACAGAAAAATCTCTGGAAACACACAAGGCTGAATCACAAAGAGATAAAACATATGAGCAGGCCCACAACTTCTTAGTTTACCAGATTTAGCCGGAAGGCAAAAACTTTCCAACAAAGAAAAAGCCCAGGCGCAAGCAGCGTCTTTACTGGAGAATTCCGCCAAATGTTTAAAGGAGAACCAATACTTCTCAAGCTCCTGAAGAAACTGAAGGAGACCCAGCTCATTTGAGTTCATTCTATGAGGTTGGCATTACTGGGCACTGCAGTCTGACAAAGATGCTGTAAGAAAATGCCAGATCCCACATCCAGCCAGATAGCTCAGCTGACTAAAGCACCTGCTTAGGCTGATACAGGGGCTGGGGCTCCATCCCCAGAGTGCTGTGCCAGCCCTGCCCCCACCCCAGGGTGCACTGAGACCACGATTGAGACTGTCAGGGTGGCAGGCACCTATAATCCCAGCGCTTGGGAGGCTGAAAACAGGAGAATCACTATGAGTCCTACCTGTGTGGTGAGATCCTGTAGGCCTTGTACTATACACAAAAAAAGAAAAAAGCAAATGACAGACCCCTATGTCAATGGATATTGCTACAGAAATCCTTAATGACATGTTAGAAAACTGAATTCAGCAGCACATCACAGGATAGCTGAGAATTTATTTCTCGTACAGAAGCTTTAATATATAAAAATCAATATGATATATAGTATTAACAGAATGAAGAAAAATCCCTATAATCACCTTAATTAAGGTATCAAAAGTACTTGATAATCTCCAGCACCATTTCATGAATAAATTCCATAAACTAGGAATAAAAAGAAACTGCCTAAATACAATAAA